CTCCACGTCATCGTCTCTGCCTCCATCTCAGGCATCACTGCTTCTCTGGGTAGGGTCCCGCTCTCCGCTCTTCTCCCTTGATGGTCCCAGGGACTTCCGCTTCTAGACTGGAAAGCTAATCACTCCCCTCCTTGCTACAAAACGTCTACCTTTACATTTCCAACCATGGTAAGCGGCTCTTTTTATCAATATTTGGTACGTATGAACATAGGGCTTGTGAGTAAGCAGAAACAGGAACAAGATCTCCCCACGTACAGCAAAGAAGCCAGTATGGAGACAAGATAACTTAGGAGACCACTGCAGTGGGCCAGGCTAGTGATGGTAAGTAGGTGGGCGTAGTGGTAGTGTGAAGATAGAGGGAGAGGCACAGATTCAAGCAACATCATCTAATAGGCAAATCTTTTTGTAGATTCTCAATGGCACTGAGTGAATCTGAATTTTGGAACGACGCAGCTTAATTTAAAACCAAATAGATAAAAAAGAAAGCAGTGTTCTTGTTTCCTCCATGTGGCTTCGATAGGTTTCCTTAGTGTCAGAAATGACTTAAAAAGTGGCATCATCGTTCAAACCAATGTACAAATTACTACTCTGAATTATATAGATTCCTTCTTATCTAAATAGAAATAGAATTTTAACTATATTTTCCAGCACAGACCCTGCTGCCAACACATGATGGTATTAAAAAACATGAACAATGCTTAAATCACTAAAAGAAGGTACTGTTTAAGTAAAATTTAACAAATGTAAAAGAAAAACATTTAAAAATTCTATCTTGCCTAATTCTAGACAGAAATATTCAATAAATATTCAAGAAATACTAAAAAAATCAGTCTTTCATTGGCTCTATACTAACCCACACTTAACTTGCTTACTGTGATTTACTCACAGATGGCAAAAAAACAAACAACACCTCAATTAAGTAAAAGATAGTGCTTCTAAGATGGCGGATCGGGTAGACATAAAATGAGGCGCTCCGTCACCAATAACACAGAATACCAGACCAAGCAGACTCAGGGGATGGTGCCAGAACTCTGAACCACATATAAGGAATATTTAGAAGCTTGGAAGGCTTACAGCTGGGGGAGTTTGTAGCAGAAGCAAGAAATCCACTGCTTTCTAATTCAAGACGCTTACCTGCTCCCAGAGCCACCATCTTGAGTGAGACCAAGCAGGGGACGGATCAGAGCAGCCACAAACACCTAACAGAACTGCAGAGATACAGGTATGGACATTCTTTTTTTAATATCTGTTCATTGGTCTCTGTC